CTTTCTGTAGTGTTCCCACATGTCTTTTGGAGTTCGAGAGAAATCCTTTTGGAATGTCCTGTGCCTTCTTCCTCTGAGTTCCCGGCTTTGTTCAATTGTTCACAAGAAATTCCTGACCTGTTGGGAGGGGCCCAGGAAGCTGTGAAGCAAATTTGCCAAAAATGGTGTTACCAGCTCAGGCACACTCTTTTCCTGGGATTTCAACGTAAAAGAGGGCAGTGTGGATGCAGTTGTTGGGGAGGGTGTCACCATTCCTAGTTTTATGTTTCTTGTGTAGAGCAAGCAGGACCAGTCATGTGTAGAGGGAGAAGACAGTAAGGAATAAAAAGGGCCTCAGGAATGAGGCGAGGGGTGGGGTGGGCTAAGGCCTAGAGGGTAGGTTCGGGATAAGAAAAGATTAGGGGTGGAGTAAAGGGTCGGGAATAGGGTGAGTGTGTCTCACACCTTGGTCATACAAAAGGCTTTATTTATTTTCTAGGATCTTGAGAGTAGTGATATCAAATTATCTGTTTGAAAAGGATCACATCAGATTTTTTTTAATCCTCACCTGAGGATATTTTTCTATTTATCTTCAGATAGAGTGGGAGGAAAAGGAAGAGACAGAGAAACATCGACTGGTTGCCTCCCGCATGACCCCAAGGAGGGCCAGGGATGAACTGCAACCAAGGTACGTGCCCTTGACCGGAATCGAACCCACAACTCATTGGTCCACAGGCTGATGCTCTACCTCTGAGCCAAACCGGCCAGGGCCACATCAGATTTTTTTTTTATCCTCACCCGAGGACATTTTTTCGATATTTTGTTCAGATAGAGTGAGAGGGAGAGAGAGAGAGAGAGAAACATCGACGTGAAAGCGACACATCGAGTGGTTGCCACCCACACGACCCAACCAGGGCTGGGGACAAACTGCAACCGAGGTACGCACCCTTAGCGGGAACCGAACCCGGGTCTCTCCGGACCGCAGGCCGACGCTCTAACCGCTGAGCCAAACCGGCCAGGGCAGATTTTTTTTAACATACAAAAATAATTTTAATATCACACACCTATACCCAATATTACCAAATGATGCAGGGACAACAGGTGACCTTTGAAGAAATTTCTCCTTTCGCTTACTGTTTCCTGTAAGAGCAAGTACCAGGTTAACACTGCCCTGTTCAGAAGACTGGTGTTGGAGGCAGCCCAAACCCCGGGGTTACATCCTTGCTTTATCTAATTTACTGCATACTTTGGAGGCCAAGATTTACCCCTTTCTTTTAAAATCCATTCAGTAAATACTAAGGAAATAAAACAGGGATTTGGATAGAAAAGCACTGGCTGAGGATCAGAGACCTGGAATCCCAGCTCTGCTACTTTTCAGCTGCAGGTGTTTGGGCAGGTCACTTTCTCTCTCTGAGCCTCAGTTTCCCCTTCTGCAAAATGGAGTACCAAAACCGAGCCTCACAGAGAGCTGAGGGCTGCGAGCCTGTGTTTCAGGCCTTGGCTGCATGCCTGGCACTCAGCATGGGTGAGTAATAAATGATGACATACTTCTGCAAGCGTGAAGGACTTTCCCCAGCCACCCTTTGCTGCGGGGACACCTAGGCCACTTCTATACACAAGGTGGACAGCCCAGCAGGCTGTGACATTGTTCTGCAGTCCCCACGCTGCTTCCTGTTTACATGGATCCCTGCAGATGCATGGTTTGAACAGTGAATATGGGGACTTCCTGTGTCCTCCGCATGGCCACATGAAACAGACGACCTTCTCTAACTAAAAGCCTTATTTTCTCTGGACTTGGACAGTGATTGGTGAAAGGGATTTGTGAGTAGTGAGTATTTTTTCTGAAATGGTTGAGCCAAACACAGAGATCCTGTCCTGTTAGGGTACGGTATAATCCCTAATCAATGGTCAAACTTCATTTGAGCACCTACTAGGCAGAAGGCCCTTTAACCAACATCAATTTAACAACTGAGCCCATTTTATGAGCCAGAACTAGGCTAGATACTGGAGACCTCAAGAATAGTGTACTGGCCCTGGCCAGTTTGGCTCAGTGGTAGAGTGTCAGCCCTCAGACCAGTGAGTCTCGGGTTCAATTCTAGCCAAGGGCATGTACTTCAGTTTCGGTTCATCCCCAGCCCTGGTTGGGGTTGTGTGGGAGGCAACCAGTCGATGTTTCTCTCTCTCCCCCTTTCTCTCTCTCCCACTCTATCTGAAGATAAATAGAAATTTATCCTCGGGTAAGGATTTTAAAAAAAGACTAGTGTCCTGCCCAGCCAGTGTGGCTCAGTGGATTGAGTGCCATCCAATGGTTCAAGTCCTGGTCAGGGCACATGCCTGGGTTTTCTGGCCCAATCCCCAGTAGGGGGCGAGCAGGAAGCAGCCAATTGATGTGTCTCTCTCACATTGATGTTTCTATCTCTCTCTCTAGAAAAATCAATAAAAACATTAAAAAAAAAAAAAAAAAAGAATAGTGTTCTAAGCAAGGGTCTTACAATATGATTAGGTGAAATTGGACCATTTTTGAGGTAGGCATCTCCAGGAGAGTCAGGGACAACTCCTGTGCAAATATAGACTTAAAGCAGGAAGGGGATGGCTTTGAGTGGCCAGATTGGGTTGGAAATCAGGATACTCTTGAACTACCTCTTAAGCTGGGCTAAAATGGATTATAACAAGCTATATTCCTGTGAATGTTCACCTAGGAAATAGGTCACTGGAGGGCTGAGGACCCATCAGATAAAGGCCAAATCTTCTTCCTGGGGAGGGAAGGGTTACCAGAGACAGAGAAAGGAGCTGCTGAGCTTTGGACCCAGAAAGGATCGCCCTCGTCTCCCAGAGATGGAATAGAAGTGGAGGTGAATTCAATGGGCTGAGGGTTCAGGGCTCCCTTCCTTCCTCCTACCCTGGAACCACTGTGGCAATCTCATGGTAGGAGTACTCAGGCTTGCTGCCTTCTCTGCTCGGCCACAGGGCTAGGCCACAGCAGGCCACCTCCTCCAAGAGCCATGGAACCTTGTAGACCTCCAGGTTCTGCATTATTTCAAGCGCAGCCCCATTTCACACTCTGAGGTGCTATTGGCCTTCATATTTCCAAGGAGAGAGGAGAGCTCTAGCAGGAAGGGTCTGGCTGGACCTGAAGTTCAGAGCCACGTAGAAATGGGTCCTGAGGCCTGAAATGGCCCCTGAGCAGCTTGGGAAGATGACAAGAGGCTTGAGTTTGGGGATGGGAGTGGGGGCACTCTCAATTCTCAGCTCAGGAAGCTCTAGGCCTGGCTTGGGACCAGAAGGAGAAATGCAGAAATATCAGAATCTGGGGGCCCTTACAGATAATCACATCTAACCCAGTCATGTTACAGAAGGGGAAACAGCCCTGGCTGGTTTGGCTCAGCAGTTGGAGCGTCGGCCTGCGGACCAGAGAGTCCCGGGTTCGGTTTCCGCTAGGGGCATGTACCAAAAAAAAAACAGAAGGGGAAACAGAGGCATAGAGAGGGGAAATGATGTACCTAAGATCTCGGGGCAGGTGAGTGGCATACTAGATTGGAATTCCAGTCTCCAGAGTCCCTCACCAGCCGAATGGTGGACACCTGGGCCCTTGGAGGGCCTGATTTCTCAGCACCCAAATCAGTTGAGTCTGAAGGTTTGGAGCTTTCGGTGGCCCAGGGAACATTTTCTCAGACATTCCCAGCTAGAAATCTGGGACCACCTTGTTCTGACCCTCCAGCCCTCACCTGGGTTGGACAGAACCATGATTTTCAGAGATTTCCCAAGAAGAATCATCCTTCCACCTGCTGATGTCCAGGGTTGCCTGTTCCAACACGTCTCGCACTGGCCATTGTAGGGTTTTCTCTACATCCACCCTAGGCCCTGATCGTCGAAAGCACATCTTTAAAAGAATAAATATGTAACCCTGGCTGGTGTGGCTCAATTTGTTGGAGCATCATCCTATACACCAAAGGTTGGCAGATTCAATTCCTGGTTAGGGCACATACGGGGTTACGGGTTTGATCCCTGGTTAGGGCACCTTTGAAAGGCAACTGATTGATATCTCTCACATAGATGTTTCTCTCTTTCCTTCCTCTCTCTAAAATAAATTTTTTGTTTGTTTGTTTTTATCCTCACCCGAGGACATTTTTCCATTTTTTGTTCAGATAGAGTGGGAGGGAGAGAGGGAAAGAGAGAGAGAAACATTGACGTGAAAGGGACACATCGAGTGGCTGCCACCCGCACGACCCAACCAGGACCAGGGACAAACTGCAACAGAGGTACATGCCCTTAGTGGGAACCAAACCCGGGTCTCTCTGGACCACAGGCCGATGTTCTAACTGCTGAGCCAAACCGGCCAGGACTAAAATCAATTTTTAAAATGTTTAAAAAACAAACAAAGAATGTGTATAAAACAGAACAGTGTCCACCACACAGTAAGGGCTCTACAGATTATTCTATCATCATCATCATTACTTCTACTTTCTCCTCACTTGGGGCTGTGCTAAAATCAATAATCCAGGAAGAAGAAGAGTTTGGATGGGGATTGGGTATAAACAGTCAGTCTGTTTCTTCACATGGGGGAACCATGGATAAGGGACACTAGGATCCTCAACAGTGATCCATGCAAGATAATACCCAGGGATTCCAAACTGAGACCTGTGGGCTTCACATTCACCAACAAATATTTTTGTTCAGCGCACAGAGCATTATGACATTTTTTAATTTGTTGCTAACATTTGTTGCAAAACTCAGATTCCTGGCTTTTCTTAAAAAAGTGGCAACCTGTTTGAGAGCTGGGTTTAGAACTGGTATTCTTTCTCCACTCAGACACAGTCTCCACTACTCCCTACTATCACCCCACCCAATTCACCCATTAACCTTTAACTGCCCACCCCATAGGTTCTCAAATTTTATGATCCCCAATCTAAGTAGCCATTTCCCCTCAATGGAGCCTTGGAAGGAGCATTTTGCCACAGACAATTTATTTTGCACAGCTGCAGACTGATGGACATGTGTTCATTTCATAGATGGTGTCAATGTTACCACCAGCTACAGGGTTTGGAGATGGGCTCACGAGGGGCACTCCAACCTGAGCGGATTGCTTCCCAGAACTTGGGCAGGCGACCTAAAGAAAAGATCCCGTTGCCAAACAAGGGGAGCTCAGGCAACTTCATCCCAGGCCTCTGTGGCAGCATTGGAATGAAGTTCTGGCTGTGAAGTTGGCGTGAGCAACTTGTGTTGATGGAGTTATCCACACACTGCAAAACATTGACATCCTTGATGGATGGCACCATGCAGGTGCTGGTGTTGTGAGAGGCATCCATGCTGATGCTGGGGCTGGAGTAACTGCGGGGGAAGGAGTGGTCCGGGTGATCCAGGTGGAGTGAGTTAGCAGCCTGTTCTAGGTAGCTGACTGCGAGCCTTGGCAGGCTCAGTGATTTGGGGCAGTTGGTGGATCTGTCAAGGTAGTTGATGCCTCTGATGAGTTGGTCCAGGAAGGTGGGACTAGAGTGGTCAATGGGACCATCTGTGCAGAGCAGGCAGTGGAGGCTGTCATGGCAAGAGGGCTTTTTGGCCACCTTGGGGCGGTTCGCCAGGTGGCTCGTCTCTACAAACTTGGAGTTGTAGGGTCGGCCCATGCAGATTCTTCTCACTGGAAGTCTAGGGGAGCCGGGGCTGTCGGACCGTTCCAAAGGGCTGCTGCAGCTGCTGAACTCCGAGCCATTTGGGGTGCAGTGACGTTTGAGGCTGTTAGCCCTGGTCACAGGGCATTGGGACCAGCCTGAAGTCTGGTCTGGAAAGGACACATTTTTGGGATGGTTCAAGCAGCTATTAGTGTTGGAATGTCTCACCTGGCGTCCAGACATCGGCATGCTAGGATGATAAAGCTTCGTGGCACTGAACTGCTGTGAGCTCACCTGGAAGCTGGTTCCCTGGGCCTGGTGAGGAGAGCTGGGTCAGCTTTCCTCGGCTCCTCCCCACCTCCCGCCTGGATTTCTGTCCAGGTGTTCCATCTGCCTTCACAGAGCTAATACCACCCTTCTCCCCATCCTCCTCCTAGGCCCAGGGATTTTCAAATGGGAAAACAAATACCCTCTTCTTCAGAAAGCACAAAGAGAAGGGCAGGGGATGGGTAAGAAGGCAAGGCCCTGAGAATGACAGGGCCAGAAGACCCCCCTAGAAAGAGTGGAGGAGTCTCTCTTTTCCTTTAGCTCTAGCCCCCATTCTGATATTCCTATTTGCCCTTTAAGCCAGGGCTCCAGAAGACCATCGAGTCCAAGGACTGAATCTCTAATGGTGAAATTCCAAGTACTGAGAGAGTCCTTCTTTCAAGGCAATATCAAATAGCTAACCATCAACTACACAACGTACTCTGATACTAAAAAATGTAACTTAGAAGCAACGCAATACTATGTGCACTATCTCTGAGCCTGGACCTTTGCTTGTGTCTTACATGGAATTCTCACTGCAAATCAAGGTGGTAGTTACTATTCTATTCCTAATTGACAGATGGGGAAACTGAGGCTCAGAGAGGTGATATGACTTGCCTCAGGATCACACAGCTTGTTAGTGGTGGGGCCCAGGTACTATCTTGGGTGTGTCTGATGACCCTGGGAGACAATGCTGTTTGTCGGGGTAACTTTGGTCTCTCCCACAGTCTACTTAGGAAAAATTCTCACCACACCTGCTCTGCCTGCCTGGATGGTGGCATGATGGGGAGAACCAGACACAGAGGGACACTTGCTAACCCCATAACTAAGTTGATCCTGACTTTAGGAACCCCAAATGGTGGGGGCAGATGGTGTGACAAGCCTACCAAGGAGGCTTGACTTGTGAAATCAGAACCTTCCAAGATCTTTGGCCTTGATCATCTAACAGTAGGGGTCTCCTCATCCACCCCATAAGAGAGAGGTGAATATTGGGACTCCTACCCTTCCTGGTCCAAAAGTGGGCACTTCACAGGGACTAAGCCTGGACCAGGCCAAAGAGATGCCCAGTCCATTTAACCCCACCCTCTGTTCCTGAGTCTACTTGGGCCCAGCCAAGGGCAGTATCATCTTCCTGTCCCTGTTTCCATTGTTCCTGAATTCCTCAATACTCCCCCCACCAGAAGGAAGGCTCTGATTTCTCTCCCTCAGTAATGCCAGCTTGATGCTAATTTTCCACTTCTGCCTACTGGGAACAGAGCTGTATTTGAGCCTGTCCCACCCAGAAAACAGCTGCTAGCCCCTCTCCCAGCCCATGGCCCATCAGCTGCCCTTGTCCTTTGGATCTGAATCCAGACCCTTGCCTCTGCCCTCTCTGGTCCAACCCCACCCTATCTCCTCCTTCAGAAATATAGGAGGTAAGTGAGAGCTCACCCCCACAGGGCCCCACCTCCGCTTCCTGGCTGGCTGGGCCCCATCTGCTGTAAGGGCCCTCTCCCACTCTCACCCTGTCTTTAGGGGGTAGATGACTTAACCCTCCTCTTACTGTCCACTGAGGATACCCTCATGCTGCCATTCCAGACTGCTGGCCATGTCATAGAATCATGGAATCCTAGAGCTGGGAGGGGCCTCCCGGGGTCACCCTGGTCAGGCCCCTACCTCAGGGCCAGTGCCACTTTAAGCCTTTCAAGACAGATGGACCCTATTTTTAAAACGAGCCCGGGAATGGATGTTTTCCAGCATTCCTTGTTGTTTTTCTAAGTATTTAATTATACTGACTGAGAGTCACGAAGTTTTATGCTGGGTCTAATATAACTCCCATTGGCTGTGACCAGCATCAGTTACTTCTCTTTGCTCATCAGGTCAGCATTTATTGAGACGCTCTCGAGTGCTACCCATTTGAATGACCGATTCCTGGGCATGACAGCACCTTCTTCTTTTCTTACCTCTTCCTCATACCCTCAGCAGCCTGGTGTGGAGTACCTGACATGCGAGGGGCTCTGGCTGGAGCCTGAGGTCTCTAAACAAATTTTATTTATCTCTTTTTTTTAGAGAGAGAGAGATTGAGAAACAGTGATCTGTTCCACTTATTTATGCATTTATTGGTTGATTCTTGTGTGTGCCCTGACTGGGGATAGAACCCATAACGCTGGTGTATTGAGACAACACTCTAACCAACTGAGCTACCGGCCAGGGCAGCCTGAGGCTTCTTCAGGGAACAAATCTCAGCTCCTTTCAAAACCCCCCTCTTCTGAGACCTGGTCCAGAAAGGGCATCCAGTACAAATTTGTTGAATAAATAAACAAAATCCCCCTTTTGCGTTCTCATTGTATTTGCCAAGAAAAGCCTCCCTCCATCATTTCCTTCCCTAAATATTAGAAGTACAGCCCTGACCGGTTTGGCTCAGCGGTTGGAGCGTCGGCCTGCGGTCCAAAGAAGTACAGGTTTACATTTATCTGGAAAATTTTTCCACTTACAAAACATACAAGACAATGAACTCCCATATAGTCTTCATGCAGGTCCACTAATTACTTTTGCCACATTTGTCACCACACACACATACCATTATTATTATTATTTTAAAAGTTGCAGACAATTACATCTTTACCCTTGAATACTTCAGCATGTATCCCCTACAGGCTGGGAGAACTAGAACATTTTCTTACATATCCACACTATGATGACCAAATACAGGATATTTAACATGGATACAGTCTGTATTCAAATTTCACCTCTTATCCCTCTGATGTTCTTCATGGCAACTCTTTCTCCAATCCAGCATCCAATTCAGCACGGGGCATTGCCCTTAGTTCTCAGGTCTCTGGTTTCCCTCAACATGGAAGTTCCTTGGTCTTTGTGTCTTTTGACGTTGGCATTTTTTAAGAGTACAGGCAAGTTGTTTTGAAGAACATTCTCTGATTTGGGTTTATCTGATGTTTTCTTTTCTCGTGATAAGATTCAAGATTACAAAGCACTTTTACACAGAAAGCTCTGCTTGCGAATGTGGCCTCCCAGCCCACAGTCACTGGGGCTGTGCAGTTCTAGTCGCTGAAACAGGGAGCTGAGGGGAAGGATTAGGGTCCCCACCCACCCCCAAGGACGAAGAGGAACACTGGGGAACTCAGTGGACCAGGGAAGCAGTGTCAACAGTTCCTTTGTGGGGCCTCAGCCAGGCCTGGTTCTGCTCTGGACTGGGGGCCGGGCAGGCAGGCAGGCAGGTGGGCAGGTGGCCAGCGAGAGGGCTGGGCCTCTGTGCCGTTTGTCCTGAAGGTACCCAGGCACCGAGATCACTGGCCCTTTCTGGCCTGGGCACTAAGAGCCTCTGGAAATAGCTCCAGGACAATTATTTCAGGAGGAATGTGTAATTCCCCCACTCTCCCAGAAAGCCAGGCTGTGTCCCATGAGTACAGGAATGTCCCTCTGTGGCCTCTTCAACTCCTAGGGATCTCTAGGATTCTGGGGGCCACAGAGGCCTTCAGAGACAGAAGGGGCTGGGAGCCCTGAGTGGGAGGAGCTGTTTTGTCCTTGGCTCCTGGGCTCTCAGGACTCAGCCTGGATCAGGGCAGCCCTCTGACTCCTAGCACAGAGACACATGAAGGGGAGGCTCCAAGGAAGCAGCCTGCCCAGCTCTTTCCCAGGTCCATCCCTAAGAAACTGACACTGGTGGAGCACCTTCTATGTGCCAGAGAACCTGACATCGTCAGTGCCAGGGACACATCCACCATCTCATTTAATCCTCACAGCACCTCCAAGAGGCAGGTATTTTGTTTTCCTGGTGAGGTAATCAAGAGTCCGAGAGGGGCCCCTGGTGTGGCTCAGTTAGTGCGTCATCCTGTGCATTGAAAGTTTGCCAGTTCCATTCCGGGTCAGGGCACATGCCCAAGTTTCAGGTTCGATCCCTGGCTAGGATGCGTGCAGGAGGCAGCTGATCAATGTTTCACTTTCATGTCGCTGTTTCTCTCTCTCTATCTCCCTCTTCCTCTCTCTTTTTTTTTTATCCTCACCCGAGGATATTTTTCCATTCTTTGTACAGAGTGGGAGGGAGAGAGAGGAAGAGAGAGGGAAACATCGATGTGAAAGGGACACATCGAGTGGCTGCCACCCGCACGACCCAACCAGGGCGGGGACAAACTGCAACCGAGGTACATGCCTTAGCGGGAACCAAACCCGGGTCTCTCCGGACCGCAGGCGGACGCTTCAACTGCTGAGCCAAACTGGCCAGGGCCTTCTTCCTCTCTTTAAAAAAAATTTTTTTAATTAAAAAAAATTTTTTTTCCTTGCGCAGGGGCCATGCTAATCTTCTCTGTATCATTCCAATTTTAGTATATGTGCTGCCGAAGCAAGCACTACTTTATTATTATTATTATTATTTTTATCCTCACCCGAGGACATTTTTCCATTTTTTTTGTTCAGATATAGTGGGAGGGAGAGAGAGAGAAAGAAAAACATCGACGTGAAAGGGACACATCGAATGGTTGCCACCCACATGACCCAACCAGGGCCAGGGACAAACTGCAACCGAGGTACGAGGTACGTGCCCTTAGCGGGAACTGAACCCAGGTCCCTCTGGACCGCAGGCTGACGCTCTAACCGCGGAGCCAAACCGGCCAAGGCGTCCTCTCTTTTTAAAAATCAATTTAAAAAAAAGATTCCAAGCGGGTAACAGATTTACCCAAGCCTCAACCAGTGGTGAGAATTAGAACCTGGTTTTCTGGGTTCTACAGGCTAAAGCACTAACTGAGGAAGAGGGTGGGCCAGTAAGTCCTCCCTTATAGGGAGAACTCAGTAAGTAACCCTGTGAACTTAGCGGTGTTGGGAGGGGTCCAGCCTGGAGACACAGACTGGTAGACAGCTGTGGCCCTGCCCCCTCCAAGCAAGCCCCATCCTCCACCATTCAGCCAAGCCCAGCTGCTTTTCCTTCTCTAGCACTGCAGGGATTGATGTCAGGATCTCAGAACATCCTAAGTGGGGAGGGGGCCCTCCCTGCACGATCCCCAGACACAGTGGCCCCCACCTTTCAATCGTGGCTCCTTAGCTCCACTGCCAAACAATCGTGGGCCTTCTATTACCCTTTGCCCTCCCCACTCACTCTCATTCCCCCTTCCTGTAGTCCTGCCCACATCCTTGTCCCCTCCTGTGCCCCACCAAGACCATCAGGAGCCCTTTCCCCACCCCAGGCTCAAAGAGTTCAAGGCATCTCCCTCCCCTGGATGTCCCAGAATGGCAGGAAGAGCCCCCCTTCTCTAGAGACCTTAGGACCCTGCCCCATTAATGCATATGCTATTTATAAACTCCCCCTCCACATGCCAGCAGCTGTTTTTCCCCTCTCCTGGGGCCTGATTTGGTGGAAGGAGTGTTCACTTGAGCTTTCAGCCACAGTGCTCTTGGAAGCATCGCAGATAAGGAGCAAGCCCAGCTCAGTCAGGGGGACAGTTAGAGCCAAGAGTAATGGAACTTTTGGCTGTCCCACCCTGCTTAAAGACATCTGGGCCCAGCCTCAGGTGACTATTGGCAGTGTGACTCACCTGAACCCTTACCTGGAGTGGGGCCAGCCTGCCTGCAGGGCTGAAATCCTTCTTGGGGTTGGTTCTGGCCCTCCCCTGGCTGCAGCCTTCGACCCATCCAAGCACTATGAATGAGTCACACACCCGCATCCCCTAACACCCTCAAGGATAGGACCCTCCACTCAACAGTTGCCAAAATAGCACTTCCCCAAGCATGTGGAAGGTACAAGCCAGGGCAGATCTAAGCTCAATAGCACTGGGGCAGGTGTGGTTTGGCAGGAGCCCCAGCCAGTAAGAGTTCCCTTCCTGCCAAGCCACCTCAGGGCTTTTGGGGTAGAGCAGCCAGTCCTGGCAGGGACAGGGCTCCCATCTTTATGGGGTCTGGGAAATTCCCTCTAAGGGTGGGGTGGGGTGGGGATGATGGTCATATGTAGGCTTATGTACAAACTTGCTGAGAGAAGACATGGGAAATAGGATAGCAAGTGACTGGCTTGTGCTGTGACATTGGGTAGCTGAACTCCAAAGCTCAATCTCCAATTTGTAAAATGGAGGTAAGGAGGGTGCCCAGTGAACACTGGGCACCTGATTGACTTGCAATAATAGCTAATATTTGTGCAACCTGCCTCCCACCACTGCAGGCACAGTAGAGCCGCAGGAGTGTGCTGAGGCAGCTCACATTGGCTCACAAGAGCCCGTTGTTAGGTGTTCTAAAATTTGGTGAACTGCTTGTTAAACCATTGGTAGCTTGAAATCAGCTATAGTGGGCATATTGGCAAGTGAGACACATGAGAGGAGGGTTCGTTTTTTTTTTCAGTTTTGAGACCCAGTTCACCATGGATGTGAAAGGGACACATCGAGTGGTCGCCACCCACACGACCCAACCAGGGCTGGGGACAAACTGCAACCGAGGTACATGCCCTTAACGGGAACCGAACCCCGGTCTCTCTGGACCGCAGGCCGATGCTCTAACCGCTGAGCAAAACCGGCCAGGGCTGAACTTTTGTTTCTTATCTATAAGGAAAAGGAGTGTATGCAAAGGAGTTCTACAGAAAGTCATCTCACAGTATGATCTGATCATAAATCCTTAACTGGGCAGGTCATGGTGGGTAGTCACGCCCCAGGTCTATAACTTCTTTAGTGAAAAGGTTATCTTTGCTTTAAGGAAGCCCTGTTCCCCGTTTCTGTGCATAAGGTTTAACACACCTTTGAAATGCTGGCTTTGATGACATCTAACAGTTGCTCTTTTCTGGGCTGCCATTATGAAATGTTTGACATGGCCCGTAAATATACGAAATTAATCATAATATTTTCATACTCTTGTGTTCAATTAATTTACATGCAATTTTTATAACAAGTTTGGATTTAATTGCTTTTCAACTATCTTATAGAAAATGATACCATGAGCATTTAAACAAATGACTACAGAGTATATTTAAAGGTATGGGGAAAAAAATCAGGATGTAATTTGATAATCAGTAAAGAAAATGCATGTCAATGGACAATATCTAAAATTGTGTTTACTTGCAAAGCAACAATGTGGTTAAGGAACTGAGGAAGGAAGATAACAAGATAGTTTATATCACAGTAGGTTTTGTTGCCGATGTATCTCCAGGGAGATTGGATAGAACAGGCCAGGCAATAAAACTGAAGGCGAGAAGATGAACAAATTCCCTGAAAATTTTTGAAAAAAATTCAAAGCAACATCAGGCTGGTGTTAAACATCTTGAGAGTGAGTAATTAAGAAATTGTGTCATTGCTTAAATTGGCAGTATTTTTTGCAGGGTTCTACATGTGAGAGTTATGCATCTTTCAACTGAGGGTGACTCGGATTCAATCAAGTATGGTAATCATTACACATTGCATTTCTGAGAGCCTTCATTTATTGCTTCCATCTTGTGAATTTTTTGGCATAATAAATTTGTAAATAAATAAATAAATAAAATGCTGGCCTTTAGACTCTCCTTCTAGAGAGAGAGCAACATAATCTTAACTATCCTATAATCCAATCTCTGCCTTGCTTTCTCCTAACTTCATGTCATCTTCCTTACATTCCTCCTAAATCTCAAATGCATAAAAGAAACTGCAAAACTGTTCTCCAGAGCCTTTGAGATCTTGCATATGTCGTCAGTTTGGCTCAAATACGCTCTTATACAAATTCTCTACAGGTTTGGACATTTCTTACATTGACAGTAATAATGGCCTGTATGGATTGATTGCTTACTGTGTCCCAGCTGCTGTGGGTGTTGTTGGGTGTAATTTTATGTGTCAACTTGACTGGACTACAGGATGCCCAGATGTCTGGTTAAACATAATTTCTGGTTTTATCTGTGAAGGTGTTTCTGGAAGAGATTAGCATTTGTATTGGTAGACCGAGTAAAGCAGACAGCCCTCCCCGGTGTGGATGGGCATTATGCAATCTGTTGAGGGCCTGCCACAGGTCTGGACCCTGTAACCAATAGTCAGGTCCAAGCTACTGTCTTCACTGCCTTGGGGATCACTGACTATCAGGGGAAAAGGCTAGGTCTCATGGGAGACTCTTCTCCATCTCTCATTGCCACACCCTCCCCACCCACCCCTGTTCTGGGGGACCCCCCCAACAGGCCTCCTACTCTTAGGCTGCTGATGTGCATGTTGATATCTTTTTTTTTAGCCCTGGCCATTGTTGTTGCTCAGTGGTTAGAGCGTTGTCCTGAACACCAAAGGGTCTTGAGTCTGAAATTCAGCCCTGGTCAGGGTGCGTGCAGGAAGCAACCGATCTATGTATCTCTTTCACATTGATGTTTCTCTCTCTCTCTCTCTCTGTCCCCCTCCCTCCCTCCCTTCTATTCTCTCTAAAAATCAATAGAAAGCCCTGGCCGGTTTGGCTCAGGGGTTAGAGTGTCGGCCTGCGGTACAGAGAGACCCGGGTTCAGTTCCCGCTAAGGGCACGTACCTCGGTTGCAGTTTGTCCCCGGCCCTGGTTTGTCGTGCGGGTGGCAACCACTCGATGTGTCCCTTCACATCGATGTTTCTCTCTCTCTCTCCCTCCCGCTCTGTCTGAACAAAAAATGCAAAAATGTCCTCGGGTGAGGATTAAAAAAAAAAAAAATCAATAGAAAAAATACTCTCGGGAGAGGTTTAACAACAATCAATTTTTTTAATTTATTGATTTGAGAGATTGAGAGAGAGAAAAAGAGAGAGAGAGAGACTGATTTGTTGCTCCACTTATTTATACATTCATTGGTTGATTCTTTTTTTTAATCCTCATGGGAGGACATTTTTGCATTTATCTTCAGAGAGAGGGGGAGGGAGAGAGGGAGGAAGAGAGAGAGAGAAATATCAATGTGAGAGAGAAAAATCATTGGTTGCCATCCACACGACCCCAGCCAGGGCAGGGGGCAAACTGCAACCAAGGTACGTGCCCTTAGTGGGAACCAAACCCGGGACTCTCTGGTCCGTGGGCCAACGCTCTAACCGCTGAGCCAAACCGGCCAGGGAACATTAGTTGATTCTTATATGTGCCCTGATGGGGGATCCTGATGTATCTGAATACATAAATATTTATTTATTTATTTATTTATTTATTTATTTATTTATTTATTTATTTATCTATTTATTTATTTTGAGAGAGAGAGAGAGAGGAAGGGAGAGGGAGAGGGAAATAGAAACATCGATGAGAGAGAACATTAAATGGCCGCCTCCTGCATGGCCCCCACTGGAAGTTTGGCTCACAACCTGGGCATGGGCCCAGACCGAATCAAACCGGCGACCTCTTGGTGCATGGGTCGATGCTCAACCACTGAGCCACACTGGCCAGGCCTGATGTATCTGGGTGATACTCTAACCAAATGAGCTACCTGGCCA